CCCGATATGTATCTTGTGGAGTTGATGTTGATGAGACGCGGAAACGGACTCCTTTTAAAATGGTTAGGTTTTGATGATTCGCATAATAGTTGAACCGATAAGTCAAATTTGTAGGCCTCACCGATGATGACAAGGTATGGAGATGAATAATTTTTCAGAAGGTTTATAAAGAAATAATTATATATTTATTTTTTCTTTTCCATACATTATATGTGTACTATTAAACTCTACTACTGCTACTATTACTGCTGCTACTGCCGATGGTGTTGCGCTTGTTACAGTTTATGGATATCGTTGCTGTTATTGTTCCTACTGCTACAGCACTTGTATTCTTGGCAGCAACTGCTTCGCATATTGTCACTGCAAAACAATCAATGCATACATGAAATAGTCTCCAAAACAGCCCAATACCAAATTCGAGAAAAAAGTATATTAAAACATTCTATAGTACATAAAAAAGTTAATGAAAAATATACAATGAGAGTTAAAAGAGTAATAGGAAAGAATAATGAAAAATTCTATAACACGTAAAAATGGCGATGGAATTCCTCATCGAATGTATACAATATCATGAAAAAATAAGTAATAGCGATAACTTTTCAGCGCTTACCTTATATCTTCCTGAACCATATAACATTTCCACGCGCTTCTTTGACAGCTGTGACGTGGTTGATGTCAATAACACACAAAGCGTCACTAAACGCGTTGCTCATTGTAAGAGCATTCATTACCGCTGTTCGGGTACTTTGTTCCATAATGTTATCCACCACCCATTCAACGGGTACATAAACATTTGAGAATAGTAAAGTGTACATCATATCAATCATTTTTGAACTGGACCATAGCGTCTACACGCGTCATTTTAAAGAACGCTCCCTACCTCTAAACTTTCTATGTGACAAAGGATGCAAGAGACTTCTTAGAATTATTTATTAAGATAAGGAATAGGAGAAACAATGTAGATGATTCGGAGCTAGCGTTACGGAGAAGAATCGTGTAACATAGAATATGTATATGTTGTATTCATTTTACTCTGAATTAAATTTTCACATTTAACTGAACTTTGATGATGTAGGAAACACTGAATATACTCATCGAAAGTAAAAATTTTTAATGTAGATTCTTTGGTTCCTTTCGCACGTTTCTTATCTTTGCTTTTATCATAAAATTTTGAAAGAATATAATTTTGCTCGCAACCCTACAAATTCAACCATTATTTTCATCCATCATTAATACTGTTATATTTTTTTATTCGGAGGATATTCTGAGGTGTCAAATTTATCTAAGTCGCGTTTAATATATTCGGAACAGTAAAAAGCAGTATATGAGACTATCGGTGTCGGTATACAACAATTCAGCTTTATCACCAAAAGTATTTT